TTTACAGGAGCTATCAGTGACTGTATATGATGCTGGATCTTTAAATTTGCAGATTACGGCAACTGACTGTTTCGAGAAAAGGGATGTAGTTTGCCTTCCCCAGACTGTTCTGTGCTACAAAGGGACCTGTCAGAATGAAAGTCTGGTTTCACATTACTGAATGAGCTCAGATTGGAATCTCCTCTCAGAAATGTAGAACTCTTTAGTTACATTAAAAAAGGGAGTGGACTGACAATCTGCATGTGATTGCCACTCCTCAGAAAATTAGACCCTTGTATCTACATGCAAGTACTCTTGAGCCTTGAGTGTATCTCTATGTGAATGGATCAAACAATAGGGCTTGTTGTATGTTGCAGTTTTAACTCTTAGAAAGGTAGAATCATCTGATGTCTGGAAGTATGACATAGAAAGAATAAAACCCTACTTGAAAGATTAGGTGTGTAATCATATTTTCACTTGGTTAATGGAAAGGCAGAATTTCATTATTACCTGCTGTAATGCCTGGGATGATATGCAGTATAGTTGCGCTTTATTTTTTGAAAATTTATAGCAGGAGTAGCTATTCACAATTATTATTTTTGCCAAAATGCATCTTTACTGCCTCAGTACACTTAATGAAAAACATTCACATTTTCATTACATTGATGTCATTAAAATTGAGTTACCATCAGAACCATCTCATTAGGATTGCCACACTTTCATAAGTCAGCAAATTTACTTCTGTGAAATGTGCTGTGATTTCCTAAATTCAGTTGGTGTCAGAAAGATGCTGCATATTGCTACAAGACTCAGCTATAATCGACTCAGTTGAGAGATACTGGACTGTATGTTAGCAAGAGGAAAGAAGAGCACCTAACCCCAGGGTCAAGCTGACTTTGGACTTCTGCTGCTGAAGCAGTCTGCTGCAGCTCTTTTTTTCAAAAATATTTGTTTTCCCATTTTATGCACATTAACTCATTGCAACTGTTTCTGTTGTACTACAAATCATTATCCATTTTTAATACATGCTAGGATATAAATATGCAGTTTTGAGTAATTGAGCATATAATCAGCGAATCATAGAATCCATACAGCGTGGAAGCAGGCCCATCGGCCCACTGAGTCCTCACCGACCCTCTGAAGAGCATCCCACCCAGACCCAACCTCCTACCCTATCCCTGCAACCATGCATTTCCAATGGCTAATCCACCTAGCCTACACATCCCTGGACATTATGGGCAAATTAGCATGACCAATCAACCTAACTTGCACATCTTTGGACTGTGGGAGGAAACCCACGCAGACATGGGCAGAATGTGCAAGCTCCACACAGACAGTTGTCCAAGGCAACAGTGCTAACCGCTGAGCCACTTTGCTGCCCTTGGCATAATTTCTACATAACTGCTGAATATTAATATTTTGAATATCATGTTAGATATCCAAATTTTTTTCTGAAGTGTGGCGATGAGCGTTATAAAGCCAAGAACACCAATGTCCACCACAAATGGGCAAGTCCAGCAGATCTCTGTGATGAACAGGTTTCTTACGGGGTCACCTTGTGGGTTTTTGGTGTATCTCTTCCTGAGACAGCAATGTCCCCCTTTCCATGAAGCTGCTGGCTACCATTTGATACAGTTACAGTAACTGTAACACTAAGGTCCAGGAGCAGTGGACAGGGCAGAGGAGTCAGAAATAAGAACAGGAGGGTGACCCTGTGGTTATTGCACCTGATCACTGCCCCCACCACCACCACTATGAGACAGATGGAGATCTTCCCACACCAAACCAGCAGGCAGTCCACTCCATTTTACCATTCAGCTGGGCAGCCATTCTTCTCAGATGCCAGGAAATTAGATAATTGTAGCGATGGCACAGAGAGAGACCCCAAATTGATGATATTAGGGCAGCAGGCCAGAAAGATAAAGCTTGGCCCTTCCCAAGAACCTAGCACTGGGGAAGGTGGAAGGTACTGCTTCACAATACCAACGTTTTCCTCTCGTTCCACTTTCTCCATTGCTTCTCGGAAGAGGAAAGGATTCTGCTTGTAGGATCTTATTGAGACAGAGAGCAACGAGATTTGAAGTTCAAACAGAGGAGGCTGAGGGACAATGTTGCGGAGATCTTTAAGGGCTGGGTCAGCACAGCTTCATCAAAGAGAGGTCATGCCTAACAAATCTGACAGAATTTTTTGAGGAAATAACAAGCAACTTAGACAAAGGAGAGCCGGTAGATGTGATCTATTTAGATTTCCATAAGTTTTTTGACAAGGTGCCACACATGAGGCTACTAAATAAGAGAACAACCTATGATGTTAGGGGCAAGCTAGTGGCATAGACAGAGGATTGGCTGACTGGCAGAAAACAGAGAGTGGGGATAAAGGGGTCTTTTTCTGGATGGCAGCTAGTAACTAGTGGAGTTCCGTAGGGGTCACTGTTGGAATAACATATTTATTTAGGTTATACATGATCAATCTGGACAAAGGAACTGATGGCACTGTTGCTGAGTTTACAGATGTCACAAAGATATGTGGAGGGACAAGTCGTGTTGAGGAAGTGGGGAGGCTGCAGAAGGACTTGGACAGGCCAAGAGAATGGGCAAAGAAGTGGCAGATGGAATACAATGTGGGAAGGTAATGAGCTTGCGTCTTTTGGGAGGAAGATTATAGGTGCAAACTATTTTCTAAATGGGGAAAGGCTTCAGAAATCTGAAGCACTAAGGGACTTGGGAGTCCTAGTTCAGAATTCTTTTGAGGTTAACAATGCAGGTTCAATTGGAAGTGAGGAAGGCAAATACAATGTTAGCATTCATTTTGAGAGGCTAGAATACAAGAGCAGGGACATGCTGCTGAGGCTGTATAAGGCTATGGTCAGACCGTATTTGGAATATTGTGATGAGTTTTGGGCCCCATGTGTAAGGTTGTGCTGGCTTTGGAGGAGGTTTACAGGAATGACAAGCCCTTCAGCCCCAGAATCATATGAGGAGTGACCAAGGACTCTGGGACTGTACTTGATGGAGTTTAGAAGGATGGAGGGGAGGGGGGTATCTTATTGAAAGTTACAGAATACTAAGGCCTCAATACAACGGACATGGAGAAGATTTTTCTTTTAGTAGGAGAGACTAGGACCTGAGTGAATAGCCTCAGAGTGGAGATGATCATTTAGATCTGAAATGAGGAAGAATTTCTTCAGCCAAAGGAGTGATTAATCTGTGGAACTCATTGTCCCAGAAGGCTGTGGAAGCCAAGTCATTGAGTGTATTTAAGAGAGAGGTGGATAGGTTCTTGATTAGTAAGGGGATCAAGGGTTATGAGGAGCAGATAGGAGAATGGATTGAGAAACATACCAGCTGTGATCAAATGGTGGAGCAGATTTGATGGATCTAATGGTCTAATTATGCTCCTATATCTAATGGTCTTTTGAAGAAGTCAAATTTTTTTATAAGATACTGTGTTTCTACTTGTGGGGAAGACCAAAACTCGTCACGAATGGAACATCTGTTTGTCTTTTCTTTTCTCCTGTCTTCATTTTCGAGTGTTGGGCTAGGTACTTCCATTGGATTGTAACACACTTAAGGGAGAAATTCTGCATCAGCCTGCTGAAGGAGAATCTTCTGCTTTTACCTACTGCCATCAGGAGTATTGGTTATTAGCTTGTACATTCTTCCATTGTGTTTGCCTATGCTACAAATGTACCTTTCATGGCCAACAAGTCCTTGCATAGGACTCAAACTTGGAGATCTGGCCCAAATACAGGGAACATCACTGCTGCACCACAAGACCTCCATCAACATACGAGTAAATGAGTAAGAAATCAGAAGGAATTCAGAAGGAACTTCTTTACCCAGAGGATGTGAAGAATGTCAAACTTGCTAACATGTCAAGAAATTGAGGTGAATAGTATAAGGTGAAGCTAGGGCAGCATATGAGAGAGACGGGAATTCGGGTTATGGTGGTAAAGTTAGATGAGGAAAGATGGGAAGAGGTTCAAGTGAACCATATAGTGTGGGTGGCCCAACGTCTGTTTCCTACACTGTGTGTTTGCTACGTATTTTTGCTGTTTGAATAAAATCCACACATTCATAATTATTTGAGAACCCAACATTTGTTAAGTGTCAGAAATATTTTTATGGAAACCTGGAACAGTAGCATAAAACAGTCATTGACTTAATCCATTCACATGACCTGAAAATGGAGAACATCGGCAGTAATCTTGCCTGATTTGGAATCATTGGTTCCAGCCTCACACTGAAGACTTGACCGCACAACCTAAGCTGAGGATCAGTGCAGTATTGAAGGAAAGCTACAATTTTGGATTAGACTTAAACCAAGGCCCTCTGGCTCATCAGATAAATGTAAAAGGTTATATGGCATTATTTGAGGAGCAAGGGTGTTCTTACCAGCATCTCTGAAACCGATTATCTGGTAATTGTTATGTTGCTGTTTGTGAGACTACCATGTGCCACTTGGCTGTTTCCTATAGTACAAAGTTGCTTCATGAAATCCGCCAAAACTCATGGGAATCTAAGCATGTTGAAATTAAGGAGCAGGAGTGAAACAGTCCAGAATATTTGTAATTCCAAACAGCGCATCAGAATTGGTAAACTAGTACATAAATCTGGCATTTTAGAACATTACACAAGTCTGAGTTGCTGCTCAATAAGCTGCTTCATCAACCTTTCTTTTTGCTATTTAAAAGATGGCACAAATAGAATCTGACTTCACCTTGTAGTGGATCACCTATTTACCAAATATTCACTGGAAATGCACTTATTTTCTTCCTCTGAATGTAAGAAAACAGTAATCTGCATATTTCTATCAATGAAATTAAGTCCTGTAAATTAATTCTGCATCACAAAACAAAGATGGTCCTGCATTGTTCACAGATTTCACCCTAAACTCATTGGAATGTTAGTGAGAGAAGTACAATAAATTTAACACCTTTGCTTTAGCAGGTTATTTCCACTCTCACAAACCTGTGGATTAAGCTTTATTTAACTTCTCTTTCATGCTTTCTTCTCTCCAGCATAACCGCTGCATTCCATCTGGCTTGGAGACCTACTACTCGGAGCAAGATTCTGCATCTCGGGGAAGATTTTACACTGTCATCAACCACTACAACATGGCTAAACAGACCATTTCACGCTCGGTATCACCCTGGCTGGCTGCACTCTCTGAAGAGAAAGCACTGGAGAAGGAAAATGAAGGTGCTGGCAAAACAGCTGAGTAAACTGCCAGGTCTGACCAGCGGTTCCTTGCCAAAACCACCACAGGAACCAACATTAGCTGCTTAATGTACAAGGCACTGACATTAGTAAGGTATGGAAGAGTTAATTTGGTCTAGTTCAGTTTTTCTTCCACTCCTGTTCATTTTATTCATGTTATTTGTAAGTGTTAATGAAATTCTTTGCAAGATGGCATGCTTGTCTCATTTTGTTAGGACATTCAACTAGGAATGCTGTACTTTTATTAATCTCAGGTTGTGGATATGAAAGTAAGTAAGTAGAAAAGACCTGCTCCACATACCAATTCTCTGGCTAGATCTTCTAAAAATGCAATTAAACTCTAACATTAATTATGCTTTTTTTAATAAAGGACAAAGTCACCTCCAAAAACCCTATATACTAGATAATGGATACTTGATCATATGGTATGTTAGAATAAAGTGTTTCTCTTGTATTGTCAAATTAGCAAATACAGCCAAGTATATTACTATGGTTCTGTGTTAACTTATAATGTGAATTGTTTTTTTCTTAGAATACAAAAGCAGCAAGAGATTTTATAAAACAAATCATTAGAATAAAATATTCCTTTCCGTCTGATGCTGCGGTGTTGATACAAACATTGCATTTAGCTGAAACTGAATCCAGGGAAAGCATAGGTTGGAGTCATTTACAGAATAGCAAATTTGGTAGCTGGATCATGAAGCTATATACTGTGTTCTAACATACAAGTTTAAACAATCTTAAAGAAAAGGTGGGTTACCATTGCCACAGCTCATTGACAGACAGCTAGGCAGAACTCCCTCCAGTTCCCCAGAATTTGTAACGGCTGCATTCTGTTTTTGCTCCTGTGAGCTAACAATATGGCTTTACAGAGAAAGAAGTATTTTGTCTAATTTCGTACAATAGGTAGGATATTTTACGCCAGTCACAAATTTTGAAGAAAATAATCAGTGTTTTTATATTTAAGAATGGTTTTTAGATTAGTTCCTGCCATTCTGGGAAGATATCCCAAGCAGCTTTTTCCTGAAATAGGCACACGCCTTGACTGTTCAGGATTTGAATGGCATTTCAAGACCTTTCAAGGGAACCAAGCATGTGAACCTACACTAAACATTTCTGCCATCAGTAACAATAATTGGAGCCTGTTCTTCAGAAGCTGAATTTGTGTAGAAAAACTAAACAAAGAGCATTGCTTTTAAGGAATGAGGATTATTTCAAACCATGTCAATTTTTTAAAAAATGAAATCTTTTACTGATAATAATGAAACACAATGTCATCTGTTGGCATTTAAAAAAGTATTTTTCAGTCATACTTGTGTGTAATGTTTTATAATTTAATTAAGACTTTAATTATACACACAAATTATACTTAGTCCTGAAACGTAGACAATATTTATGTAATATTTCCTTTGTTTGACATCTCTCCATCTCCCCTCAAGTTCAGGAGGAAGTAAGCACCTCATTTTGTTTCCTGCCACTGGTCAATTATCTAGTAACCAGCTAGTCAAATTACTTTTATAATTACGAGGTGCAAATATCAAGTCAAAAGCCAGATGTGGACACTTGAGACCAATTTCTACAAAATCACTTTGGATGTTGAGAGAAAGACATGAAAGGATAAAAGAGAAAAAAAAAGATGCAGACATACAACAAATTGAGTGCCAAAACATCATGCTTTGTAAAACGTGTGCCATATTTGTCATTTAGTGTTTATGGTGTTATTTCAGTCTTGTTTGTACAGAACTTCATGTGTTTTATACATCTGAGCAAAAATGATACTTGTATTGGATGTAAAATGAAGCAATGAGGGTATAACCGATTCACTATTTAAAACAATAAAGTCAAGTAATATGACATCCTCCGATTTTAGTATTTTTTTCCAAAAGAGCAAAAATTTCATCAGTTTACAATCACAGTAGGTGATAATGCAATAAGTTTAGAACTGAATATACATCATATTTACACACATTAAATGTCTTATCCATAATAATTATCTTGTTTATCAATTTTCTTATTACAGCATCAATTGCATGTGAATCATCTAAATGTAATTCTTGCTTTATTTCTCCTTATGCTTGTTTTCACTTGCCCTCCAACACAGCCACTTGGAGCAAATTTGATTTTCACCACCTAGAGACAGTAAAGTGGTGCAGGGCATCATTCAATCTTATTGAACTCAACAATTTCGTTACCATTCAAATAAATTGTAATGAAACAAATGTGGGCTCTGTAACAATTATGTGAGCAGTTTCTTCTAGAGTTTACTGTCCATGTGATGAAGATGACCTCTATTAATCTCACTAGGATACCATCCATTCTTTGAGTGATTCAGCTAATTGACCATAAAGGAAACAATGACTAAGATGATCTGGTGTTTAGCAGACTCTGACATACGTACACTACCTTACAAATGTCATTAGCAAGAAATCAGGAGCATGAACCCTAAATTAATTCTTCCCTCCCTAACAGAGCTGCTCAGGCTAATGCTTGTGCACTCTAGCCATTATCCATGCTGAGCTGAGTTGACTTTTCAGGGACTTAGAAATCAAGCAATGTGCCTTAATGGTCTGTCTTGTTCTATTTGGAGTTTACAACCCTGTTGTCCTCAGGATAAAAAGTCTATGTTACCTACTGTCCAAACAAAGTGGTCACAAAGGGATTTCACAATTGCAGATTAATACTTTTATTATCGATTTATGATCAATATATTTGACTTAATTAATAAGCCAACAGTTCACATTTATTTCATGATGACCAACCATGTGCGTCACATTGTAGGCGCTGTATCCTTGGAACTAGAAATAAAGTACTGAGAACTGCAAAGTCAGAGCCTCCTGATGCTATTTCTGTTCACAGGTTCATTTCAAGACTTCAGCATTATAAATCAACATTATTAGAGATAAGAACATAAAGATTATATCTGACATGGCTACTTGTGAGAAAAAAAATGAACATTATACACCAGATTTCCAATATAAAATCATTTCTTTTAGCAAATCAATTTAAGGCTGTTACTAAACTGACAACGCAAAAATGTTATATAAATAATATTGCAATTCATTGTAAGTGCTGATTTTAGATGTCATTCTTCTTGGTGCAAGCTCATCTCCTGTGAACAAGTTGTATATTTTTAACATTAATAAAGTCCTGTCAGGTCTTACACTGCAACACAATGAAGACCCTTGGTCATCTCCATCAACTGTCATACCAGTCCAAGAAAAGCAGAGAGAAGGAACACATCACCAAGAAGAAGAGGATCCACACGCGAAATCCAGCATTATTTTTGATTGCCTGTTGAACAAATAAAATTCATTACTTTGTTGTCTGCAATGCTTTTCTAACCTTTTAATATAACAATTCCTCTTGCAGTAAATAATTCCAGCACAGATTTTCCGATTAAGTATCAACTCATTTGTTTTGTTACAATTCAAATGCTTTTCTAGTAAGCATTATGGCAATAGAGGAGGGAGATAATAGGATATTAAGCAGGGATGGGTGAAATAAAGCAGGAAAAGGTGGCTAGAGTTTCCAACTGAATGTGGAACTAAGGGGCTTCTGCTGTAGATGCTTCCACCACCACCATCCCTAGATATGTCTTGTCCCACCAGTGGGATAAAAACAGCATGAACACCTGAAGAAGGACTGAGACTCTGAAAGCTTGTGCTTTCAAATCAACCTGCTGGACTGTAACCTGGTGTTGTGTGATTTCTGACCTTGTCCACTCCAGTCCAACACCGCCACATCATGACTAGCAGGGCAGACCTGGCAGGGGTGGCAGCACAGTGGTATGTAGTTGAGAGGGAGTTGCCCTGGCAGCCCTCAACATTGACTCTGGACCCCATGAAGTCTCATGGCTTCAGGTTAAACATGGGCAAGTAACCTCCTGCTGATTACCACATACCGTCTTCCCTCAGCTGATGAATCGGTATTTCTCCATGCTGAACAACACTTGCAGGAAGTACTGAAGATGGCAAGTGCACAAAATGTACTCTGGGGGGGGGTTTCAATGACCACCACCAAGAATGGCTCAACAACAATACTTCAGATGGAGTTGGTTGGGTCTTAAAGGACATAGCTGCTAGACTGGGTCTGTGGCAGGTGGTGAAGGAACCAACAAGAGAGAAAAACATACTTGACCTGATCCTTACCAATCTGCCAGCTGCAGATGCATCTGTTCATGACAGTATTGGGAAGAGTGACCACCACACAGTCTTTGTGGAGACGAAGTCCCACCTTCACATCAAGAATAACCTCCATTGTGTTGTGTGGCACTATCACTGTGCTAAATGGGACAGACCTCAAATAGATCTAGCAACTCAAGGCTGGGCATCCATGAGGCACTGTGGGCCATCAACAGCAGCATAACTGTACTCCAGCATAATCTCTAACCTCATGGTTCTGCATATCTCCTACTCAACCATTACCATCAAGCCAGGGGATCACCCTTGGTTCAATCGAGAGTGCAGGAGGGCATGCCTGAAGATGAGGGGTCAACCTGGTGAAAGCATCAAACAGGACTACTCGCACATCAAACAGCATAGACAGAGCTATGCAATCCCACAACCAACTGATCAGATCTAAGTTCTGCAGTCCTGCCACATCCAGTCGTGAATTGTGGTGGATAATTAAACAACTTACTGGAGGAGGCGGCTCCACAAATCTCGTCATCCTCAATGATGGAAGAGCCCAGCACATCAGTGCAAAAGATAAGGTTGAAGCATTCACAGCAATCTTCAGCCAGAAGTGCCGAGTGGATGATCCATCTCAGCCTCCTCCAGTGAGCATAGAACAGTACAGCACAGTACAGGCCCTTCAGCCCACGATATTGTGCTGACTTATTATCCTACTAAGATCAAACTACCATGCATACCCTATATATTACTATCCTCCATGTGCCTATCCAAGAGTCGCTTAAAAGTCTCTAAAGTATCTGACTCCACTATCACTGCCGGCAGCGCATTCCACACGCCCACCACTCTCTGTGTAAAGAACCTACCTCTGACATCTCCCCTATACCCTCCTCCAATCACCATAAAATTATGCCCCCTCATAATAGTCATTTATGTGCTGGGAAAAAGTCTCTGACTATCCACTCTATCTATGCCTCTCATCATCTTGTACACCTCTATCAAGTCACCTCTCATCGTTCTTTGCTGCAATGAAAAGAACCCTAGTTCTCTCAACCTTTCCTCATAAGACCTGCCCTCCAGTCCAGGCAGCATCCTGGTAAACCTCCTCTGCACCCTCTCTAAAGCTTCCACATCCTTCCTATAATGAGGCAACCAGAACCGAACACAATATTCCAAGTGTGGTCTAACTAGAGTTTATACAACTGCAGCACAACCTCACGGCTCTTAAACTCAATTCCCCTGCTGATGAACGCCAATACACCTTACGACTTCTTTACAATCCGATCAACTTGCGTAGCAATTTTGAGGAATCTATGGACATGGACCCTGAGATCCCTCTGTTCCTCCACACTGCCGAGAATCCTGCTATTAACCCTGTATTCTGCATTCAAATTCGACCTTCCAAAATGAATCACTTCACATTTCTGGGTTGAATTCCATCTGCCACTTCTTTGCCCAGCTCTGCATCCTGTCAATGCCCCATTGCAACCTACAACAGCCCTCCACGCTGTCCACAACTCCACCAACCTTGGTGTCATTACCTTCGTGGTTTCCCAACAATTCACAGATACCAGTCTTTAGCCAATTCAATTCACTCCATATGATATAAACAGTTGGAGGCACTGGATACTGCAAATAGAGTCATAGAGTCATACAGCATGGAAACAGACCCTTCGGTCCAACGTGTCTATGCCAACCAAGTTTCCCAAACAAAACCAGTCCCATTTGCCTGCATTTACCTCATATCCCTATTCATGTACCTGTCCAAATGTTGTAACTGTACCTGCACCAACCACTTCCTCTGACAGTTCATTTCAATTACACGCTACCCTCTGTGTGAAAAACTTGCCCCTCAGATTCCTCTTAAATCTTTATCCTCTCACCTTAAAAATATACCCTCTAATTTTTAAATCTCTTACCTTAGGGTAAAGACCTTTGAAATTCACCTTATCTATGCCCCTCATGATTTTATAAATCTCTATAAGGTCACCCCTCAATCGCCTAGCTCCAGTGAAAGAAGTCCCAGCCTATCCAGCCTTTCCTAACTCAAACCTTCCATTCCCAGTAACAAGGCAACATTCTGGTAATAGTACTGAAGACTTGTGCTCCAGAACTTGCTGCTACCCTAGCCAAGCTGATCCTGTATGGTTACACCACTGGTATCTACCCGACAATGTGGAAAATTGCCCAAGTATGTCCTGTACACAAAAAGCAGGACAAATCCAACCCGTACATTTACCTCTCCATCAGTCTACCCTTGATCATCAGTAAAGTGATGGAAGGTGTCATCAACAGTGTCACCAGCACCTGCTCAGTGATGCCCAGGTTGGATTCCACCAGGGTCACTCAGTTCCTGATCTCATTACAGCCTTGGTCCAAAGATAGACAAACGAGCTGAATTCTAGAGGTGAAGTGAGTGAGACAGCCGTTGACATCAAGGCTGCCCTCAACCGAGTGTGGCATCAAGGAGCGCTAGCAAAACTTGAATCAATGGATATTGGGGGAGGGGCAAACTCTCCGGTGGTTGGAATTATACCTGACACGTAGGAAGATGGTCGTGGTTGTTGCAGGTCAATCATCTCAGCTCTAGGACATCTCTGTAGGAGTTCCTCAGGATAGTGTCCTAGGCCCAACCATCTTCAGCTGCTTCATCAATGACCGTTCCTCAACCAGGAGGTCAGAACTGGGGATGTTCGCCAATGATTGTGCAATGTTCATCACCATTCGTGACTCCTCAGATCCTGAAGCAGTCCATCTTCAAAATGCAACAAGATCTGGACAATATCCAGGCTTGGGCTGACAAGTGCCAAGTAACATTCGTGCCACACAAATGCCAGGCTATGACTATCACCAATAAGAGACAATCTAACCACTGCCCCTTGGCATTCAATAGTATTACCACCACTGAATCCTCCACTATCAACATCCTGGGGGCTATCATTGGCCAGAATCTCAACTGGACTCATCACATAAACACAGTGGCTACAAGAGCAGGTCAGAGGCTAGCAATACTATGGCGAGTAACTCACCGCCTGATTCCCCAAAGCCTGTCCACCATCTACAAGGCACAAGGCAGGAGTGTGATTGAACACTCCCCACTTGCCTGGATGAGTGCAGCCCCGATAACATTTAAGAAGATTGACACCACCCAGGATAAAGCAGCCCACTTGATTGGCACTACATCCACAAGCATCCATTCCCTCCACCACTGACGCTCAGTAGCAGCAGTGTGTACTATCTACAAGATGCATTCCGGAAATTCACCAAAGATGCTCAGACAGCACCTTCCAAAGCCAAAGGGGAGGCAACGGCCTAGTGGTATTATCGCTGGACTGTTAATCCAGAGACCCAGATAATGTTCTGGGGATCCAGGTTCGAATCCTGCCACGGCAGATGATGAAATTTGAATTCAATAAAATATTGGGAATTAAGAATCTAATGATGATCATGAATCCATTGCTGATTGTCAGAAAAACCCATCTGGTTCACTAATTCCCTTTAGGGAAGGAAACTGCCATCCTTACCTGGTCAGGCCTACATGTGATTCCAGACCCACAGGAATGTGGTTGACTCTGAACTGCCCTCAGGGCAATTAGGGATGTGCAATAAATGCTGGCCTAGCTGGCAACGCCCTCATCCCGTGAATGAATAATAAAAAAAATCACTTCTGTCTAGAAGGACAAGGGCAGAAGATATATGGGAACACCACCACCTTCAAGTTCCTCTCCGAGCCACTCACCATCCTGACTTGAAAATACATTACTGTTCCTTCACTGTCGCTGGGTTAAAATCCTGGAATTCCCTCCCTAACAGCATTGTGGGTCAATCCACGGCAGGTGGACTGTAGTGGTTCCAGAAGGCAGCTCACTGTTATCTTCTCAAGGGCAACTAGGGTCAGGCAATAAATGCTATCGATGCCCACATCTCACAAATGAATAACAAAAAAGGGAGGGAGGGTTGGGGGGTAGTGAAAAGCTTGACTACTGTGTGTGTGGGGTGGTAGTTGGTTGGGAAGAAGAGGGGTTAGTTACTGTCCTCCCCCCACTTCACTCTCACTTTTGTGGTTGTGGGGATATGGAAATCAGTAATTTGTCCATCCTGTTCCTAATAATGCTGCCTGTGCAAGAAGGAAAAGATGGAGCCATCCTTTGATTTTTTTTT